TTGTTATAAGGCAGCAGTGATAATCAGTACTTGACTGAAAACACGATGAAACAAAAATGATTTTACCCTCCACTTTTAACAGCTTTTAAATTGCTGTGATCTGTTACATCCCAGAAATTGGACTGTCTTTGGCCAAACCATATGTTTCTTGACTTAGGATCTACTTTTATTTTTCATGAGAATTATTTCTTATCTTGAAATACTTGAAAAGGTGAAAAACTATTTATTTTGGGGGGCATGCTTTACAGTGATGTATTTGGTTCAGGGGACCCAGATCTGCTCAGGGAAAGGGGATTTGATGGTGGTGAGGAAGTGGAGCTGACATTCCAAGAGCATCGGCAGGGAGCTGGCATCTGACATTAGCTCCAGGGTTCCCTGCCTCTGTCTGAGTGTGTCTGCTTCTGTCTGTGAGTGCTCCGTTTCTCTCCCCACTGACCTGCTCTCCTGAACTGGCCTCTCCAGAACCCATTTGTTACGGTTTTTCTCTATCTGCTTTTTGGCTTCTGTGCCTCCTGCTTAGAAATCTGTTTGATAGATTTTTTCAGTAAGGAATCTGTCAAACAGATCATCTTTTTAAGCCAATCGTAAACAATGAGCCACAGGTCACTGGATCTCCTGAATATTAGCTCTCCTGGCACAGGGGTGACAAGTAGTGCAAAGCATGGCTCTAGCCTTCAGCACAGACTTAGTTGATTAGCACTTTCCCTTACAGTGGAGCAGGTGTCGGAGGCCAGAATTGCCTCTAAGGCCTCCTGTATCATCATGCTTATCTACATAACGCAATCTACATAACTCACACTAAGGATTACATAACTCAAACTGCTCTGTCACCTTAGCAGTGATCTCAGTTATAAAGAATGGCTGGTGATTAACTTTGCAAGAAAGCAGTGACTCTGTAAAATGATCACTCAGATCACATAATTCGAAGAAATAAAATACCAAATTTGAAATTGGCATTAGTAAGGAAAATAGCAAGGGGGTCCAGAAATACTTGAGAAAGAGAAGTATTGGCTTTAATTATTTGAAAGGAGAGAATACACAGAGCTTGAAAGTTCCCAGTTGCATTAGTAACTCTAATGGGACAGGATGCTCTGTAGAAAGTTGACATTGTCGGCCGACACTTTTACCAGTTCCCACATCAGCTACTTTTTCCCAAACATTTGTATCTAGAAAGAAGGACTGCCTGCCTCTGTGTGCATTTACACCTCCCAGTGTGTCGATGAAAGAAGCTAAGCTCTCACTGAAGTCAGTGTCAGGACACAGCTGTTCTCCTTGGATGCCTACCCTCCTCTTTTTCACCCTGTCCTCCGTTTCAGCCTTTCCTTCTGCACGTGGTGGTTTTGTGAGGGGTCCTGCAGATCTTTGACCTTTGTCAGGCTCCTTTAGAAATGCTGGGGGGAGCTAACTGCCCCTTTCCACTGCTGCCAGAATCTTACTCTGGTTGCATAGCATGAAGGTGTGTGTGTTGGGGCTGGTGCAGGGGACAGTGGGCAGCAGGGCAGAAGATGGCAGGGATCAGGGCTTTCTTTCAGGCTGTGCAAATACTGCCGAGATGACAGAGCAGAACAAGGTCACCATTCATTCTCATCAACAGGAGCATGGGTCTTGTGCTATTTCCAGGTCAGGCAAATCTCATGGGACTGCCTCTCATTTGTTTATAGATAAAAATCACATTAATGTGAATTTCCTAGGTAACTGAGTAGGTAAATAAAAGTCACAGTCTGCAGACTGAGAGTCAGTGTGAGAACTCCTACTTTGTGTGGATGCAGGCACTGGTAAGGGTTTGGGGCTCGGGCTTGGAGGCCTGTATGAGCCTCTAGTCTTCTCTTACACCGGCTGAGCTGCCGGCTCTGTGATCAGAAGTTGTTCCTTTGAGTTCCTTCCTAGGGCCCTAGCCAGGGCTGGCCATTGCCATGGTAGGACCTGATAGAGGAAGTAAGCATTGCTTCACCATGGAGGAAGAAGACAGGATGCTGGTATCAGACCACTCAAGTCCATTGGGTCAGAGCTTGTTAAACTTGATCATGCAGTGAATTACTGTAGGATGTTGATTCTGATGCAGTAGGTCTGGAGTGGGCTTGAGATTCTGCATTGCTGAGGCTCTCCCAGAGGATGCCGACCTGCTGTTTCCTGAACACACTGAGTAGCAAGCTCTTAGATGGCATCTCCCACAAGTCCGTTACTGAGGTTCCTCCAGCAGCTTTGTGTGGTCATGAACACAAATTCACTCAGCTCCTGGCACCCCTGCACCTTCCTATGGGGAACGTGGGCAGCCTTCAGGATATTCCTGGTTAAGGGTGATATGCTGAAGTTGACTTAAGCTCACGTTGGCTTTGATTCTAGAGTAAAATTAGACCTTTCCTGATGTTCCCTTGCTCAAGTGGCGGAAAAAAGACAGGTTTTGTGTTTCTCTCCAAGAAAAAAATCTGTAAATGAGGAGAGAAGTTTCTACAGGCTTATTTCATAGGCCAAGAAGAGCTGCCCGGACCTCCAAACCCTGACTTTTGTGGCTTTGTTTTCAGATATTTCAGGCACAAAGTCAAGAGAATTGTGTGCTGTGTTAAAAAAAAGAGAAGAGTGAGCTTTGGGACAGGGCAGTGCTTATGGGTTATATTTAGGCTGTGGGACTTCTTCTGAGGTGGAAGTAGAGAGGCTTGGAATGAGCACAGTGTGTATGGTTTTGTCCCCAGAATGGCTAGATGTGCTCTGCATAGAGGACTCTGGTGGGAGCCCGGGCTCTGCCACTGACCACCCACTGATTTTGGACAGACCCCACCCAACAGTGCTGGGCCTTGTTCTATGGACATAGCCCTGCTTCTACAAGCCAGGGAGAGGGGAGGAATGTGCCTGCTTTCTCATGTTCAAACTCGGTGGATTCTTTTTTTATTAAGGCAAATAGCTAAAATGTATATGTAATAAAATAAACTGTTCCCCCTGAACACAGATTGAAGGATGGAGTAGATGAAATTGGCATCTGAATATGCTGTTAAAATGTCTGGAAAAGCATACAGGCTTTGCATCAAGGTCTGGAGCTGTTTTCTGAGGTGACGTGCGCGTGCTTTAAAGCCTGAACTTGGTCTTTCTCTACTCACTGGTTCTTAGCTGTCTAAGGAAATTTATTCTGGGTGTGTGAGAGGAGTTATTCCCCCGTAGTACTATCTTGTTATCCAGGATCTAGGGCAGACTTTCTCAGTGCATAATGAATCCTGCCCGAAGGCTTAGTAATTTGAATTTTATAGTCTGTGCTGTAGTTTGACTTACATCATGGTACGGTGTCATTATCCATTTAGTTCAGTTTTTCTCGAAGTGTAAGGCATACGCCACTGGTTCTGCTAGAGATGATTTTAAGTGGTACTGTGGAACTGCAGTTTTTAATATAGAATCATCACGAGAAAGTTACCCTTTGAAAAATTATTCCTTTTGGTTGCCTTCTGTAAAGTTTAATAACACTATATTGTACTTATTGTCACATTTATCTTCTGTGTCTTGGGGTGATAGCTCTTATTCATGTTAGTGATTTAAAGAAATTTGCTTCCTTTAAAAATAAATCCCCTCAAAATTTAAAAAGGCGGTTTAAAAGAATGAGGTAAATGATACAGAATACACGTTGCTATACCACCAGTATGGCAAAAATGGTGAAGGTGGAAGAGGGCTGGCTGAAGTCACGGAAGCACTGATTGGTAGAGAGGCATGTCATGCCATTGAGGCCATGAGTTTATTTCACTTACGGTGCAAGTAGTGTTGCATTCAGGCCAGAGTCTGCACACCCTGGCAAATTGCTTTGCATACCTGCATTAACAAGCAACTAAAAGGTAGTTTCAGTACAACTCATCCCTAGCACGGGGACAAGAATGAACAGCCTGTCTGCCAGGAAGGTCATCGTCCCACAGAGTCTGGAGGCTAGGCTTTGATTAAAGGCCTGGGTTAGCTGGTTTCTGTCCACCCACAAGATGCTGAGCAGTGTCTTTGGTCTGCAGCTATGGGTTGTTTAATGAAATCTAAAGCCAGTTTTG